ATGCTGGGTCCATGTTATAGCATTAACCTCAACTTCTGAACACTACTGCTGCCACTTCTGTTTTGAAAATATAATCAAATCTTTTTCAATTAATTAATATTCAGGTGAGGTTTGGAAAGTTGCACATTATATGATCCTGCTAGCATAGGAAAATTGTAAATTGAGAAATGTTTCTTATCTATGTCCTCTTCCTGATTAATCGTTCTACAAATACTTCTCTACTCATACTGCCTCAAGTTAATCTGCTGGGAGCTATATCACATTCTTTGTTTTATTTCACACATATCAATTGAAACTCTGAAAAAAAATTGCAAAAATACACAAAATGGAAGGAGCATATACTCTATAGAATTAATGTAGTTTGATGCCACTTTAACTGCCATGACTCAATGCTAAGGACTTCTGGGATTTATAGTTTATTTATTATGTATTTATTTACGACATTTATATGCCACCCTTCTCACCCCAAAGGGGACTCAGAGCGGCTTAGAAGGTATTATTAGCATAGTACAATATCAGTATTACATATTAGTTTAGTGAGGCAACAGGTGCTCTTTGGCAGAGAAGGCTGAAACTCTTTTAAAACAATAATGCCCATGATTTCATAGCACTGAGAGGGGAAACTGGAAAAGGGATGGACATAAGTAGGAGACAAGTACAAAATTAATAAGATGTAAATAATAGGAGACACTGGATTTTTAAAAAAATTCATAGCATTAACCCACTTCGATCAAACACCAAGGTTTAAAGCAGACTTCTTGGCAGAATCCCATGTTTTTACCCTATAGTTAAATTATTTTGGTTCCTGATTGTATCAGTCATTTGTATTGTATGTAGAACTTACAGTTATACTGGTGTATATATATGTGTGTATATAAAACTGATTGTATGTGAAGTGTAACTTGTCACAACTTGGGGAAGGTGGCATGGGCCCCAAATTCAGGACTTGAAGTATTAGTGTCTGGATGACATTGGTCATGAATGGCCCTGGGTGTGCAGCAGTTGGAGGAGTACATCAGGAGACTGTGGTTCACAGTACCTCATTGTTGTCCCATGGTCAGCGGGTCAGAATGGTTATGAACTCATTGATCAACAGCCAGGTTGGTGTATGCCTAGGTCTGGGGCCGTCCAATTGTGGACCAACTCTTGTGTCAGCTGTAACCAATACAATTGTGGCTTGTTTGCAACTAACTCAGGTGCATTGGTTTGTTTTTTGGAGCCTTACTTCACTTGGTGATGCATGCCATATGCCAGCAAATATGTAAAACACAAGAATGGCCATTAGACTGGAAAAAAATCAACTTATATCCCCATACCAAAAAAAGGGAAACGCTAAGGACTGCTCAAACTTTCATACAGTGGCCCTTATTTCTCGTGCCAGTAAGGTAGTGCTCAAGATCCTGCAAGGAAGACTCCAGCAATATATGGAGCAAGAGTTGCCAGATGTACAAGCTGGGTTTAGAAAATGCAGATGAATGAGAGACCAAATTGCCAATATCTGCTGAATAATGGAGAAAGGCAGGGAGTTTCAGAAAAACATCTATTTCTGTTTTATTGGCTATTCTAAAGCCTTTGACTGTGTGGATCATAATAAATTGTGACAAGTTCTTGGTGGTATGGGTATGCCAAGCCACCTTGTCTCTCTCCTGAGGAATCTGTATAATGACCAAGTAGCAACAGTAAGCAACAGACTGGTTCAAGATTGGGAAAGGCATACAGCAGGGTACTCTCACCCAACCTATTCAACTTGTATGCAGAACGCATCATGCGATGTGTGGGGCTTGACGAATGCAAGGTTGGAGTAAAAATTGCTGGAAGAAACATTAACAACCTTAGATATGCAGATGACATCACTTTGATGGCCGAAAGCAAGGAAGAGCTGAGGAGCCTTCTAATCAAGATAAAAGAAGAAAGCGCAAAAGCTGGGTTGTAACTAAACATCCCCCCCCTAAGATTATGGCAACAAGAATGATTGACAACTGGGAAATAGAGGAAGAAACCATGGCAGTGACAGACTTTGTATTGCTAGGTGCAAAGATTACTGCAGATGCAGACTGCAGCCAGGAAATCAGGAGATGCTTACCGTACTTCTTGGGAGGAGAGCAATGTCCAATCTCAATAAAATAGTGAAGAGTAGAGACATCACACTGGCAACGAAGATCCGTATAGTTAAAGCAATAGTATTCCCCGTAGTAACCTATGGATGTGAGAGCTGGACCATAGGGAAGGCTGAGCGAAGGAAGATAGATGCTTTTGAACTGTGGTGTTGGAGGAAGGTTCTGAGAGTGCCTTGGACCGCCAGAAGATCCAACCAGTCCATACTTCAGGAAATAAAGCCTGACTGCACATTGGAGGAAAGGATAGTAGAAGCAAAGATGAAGTACTTTGGCTACATCATGAGAAGAAAGGAAAGCTTAGAGAAGACAATGATGCTGGGGAAAATGGAAGGGAAAAGGAAGAGGGGCTGACCAAGGGCAAGATGGCATCCTTGAAGTGACTGGATTGACCTTGAAGGAGCTGGAGGTGGTGACAGCCGACAGGGAGCACTGGTGTGGGCTGGTCCATGAGGTCACGAAGATTCGGAAACGACTGAACAAATGAACAACAACACTGCACTTAGACCTGCTAATTGCAAAGTGGTGCTCTTTTAAAAAAATGTATACTGTGAAAAGGTAAGGAAATAAACATGTTCCTGTCTTTCTAAATGTTAATCATATATTTCTAATGATCAGCATAATCAATGCCTCCTTTTTTTTGCTATTTCACAGATCTTCATCTGTCATTTTTCTTGTGTTGAGAAAACTAGTTCCTTCCACCTCTGAGCATATAGAATTCGACAATGAGGGCATTTACCGACTTTAGGGATTCATGAATTAGTATGTTGTTTTAAGTATAAGTGTGATCATATTACTGTTAGAAATAAGTAGACTAATATAAGATAATAACCATCAGATAGAGTGGGACATTCATAGTTTTCTATAGTTATTTAATTATAGTTTAATTGTAGCATAGTTTTTTATGTATCTAAACTATCTGTTATATATCTAAACTTTATGGTGGTTTTATGTATCTAAAATATACATTTAAATACATTTTTAAAAGATTTCTGATGTTGAAGTTTTTTATGCTTTTAATTAAAAGTCCATTGCTCAAAATTACAAATTAGTTTTCTATTTTGCATTACATCCGGAATGGATATGTATGTGCAGAACTGGCCATGTATTGCTGCAATATTTTTGGCAAACCATTCTGCCTTTGCAATTTGTTCAGATAGCAGAGAGATACAATTGCATTAGAAGACTGAACAAATTGCACAGTTTTTCCCCACAAAGTTGAGGCTGCTGAAATGAATAAATGTTCTGATCACCTCACTGAGTGTAATCAATGAAATGAGGCAGAGAGTTTGTAGGTTGGTAGTTCTAAAGGCAGGATATGAAGAACTGTGAACCCCAAGCTCATGTTGAATACAGTGATGGCAGAGATACCTCTACTGTGCGCAATTTGTTTACACTACAAAGTAATGCAAAAACCAACACAAATGTAATGTAAAGGTCTGTCTGTGATTGGATATCCTGAAAAAAAGCAGAACATTTGATTAGAGTAGTGGTGTAGCAGGAAGGGGTGCTTTTTTTCCTGTGCCATTTTCCCAAGAAAGCCCCCCTCCAATTCAGCCCAGCTGCTGTTTGCCTTCAAGGTGAACTTGAGTCAAAAAGCTGTAGCCAGCACACATGCCTGCACACACATACAAAATACCTATCATTGTTCTTTTATTAGACCTTTTCCTATTCCTTTTGCTTATTCTTTTAGAACTGCAACTAACACTTTGCTCTTGTTACCCCATGGCTTCCACAGTACTGGGGAATATCTGAAAACATGCAGGCTTGGTCTGCTTCAGATTAAAACCCCAACAGAGCTCTTGGGAGCTTCCTTTCCTTTCTGATCTTTCAAAAGCTTGGAGAAGATATTCTTTTGAAGTACAACTCCAAGAATTCTCCAGCCAGATTGGTCGATAGCCATGCTGGCCGGGGGACTTTGGGAGTTGCAGTTTTAAAAAGTAACTTCTCTGGCTTCTGCTTATTATCCCTATCTCATATTTGGCCTCTCTGTATGCCTTGGCTTCTACTGCCTCTGTCATTGCCAAATCAAAATATAACAGTATTATGAAAAGTTGGACAACATATTCAGTCTCAAACTCATGCAGAAATCAAATTGACTGAGTTGAGAAACGTATGTAAACTCAAATAGCCTTTTTAGTAAAGGTTCCCTTTGGCATGTTGTTGGTTAGAAACCATACTGTATGTAATGTGGTAAAATTGCCCTTCTAAGGGAATTGTTTTTCCATATGTGCTGTGCACCCATCACCAAGCTGCAAAGACATACATGTGTTCTGGTGCTTGAAGATCTAGTATAAGTAAGACTCATTATTAACATTTTCTTGTTTTCCTGATGGATTCTCTGAGATAGTATATTTGCATCATTTTGTAGGAACAAATCTTCTCCATAGCTTTCTTGATTGTTCAGATCAGGTATTATATTGGGTTCTGAAGTCTTGGTCATCAAGATGTTTTGCATTTCAGCTTGCTGAACATTTGATATTTGAATATATTGGTTTGAGATGTAGGAGGTGAAGCCCAAAAAATCTGGGCTTAAGTTTAAGTGTTGTTCTAGGGACTTTTTGAGGCTAACTGAATGACTGAACAGTTGGGGCAAAGCACGAATATAAACACGAAGGCTGTTGCAGTGGTACTATATGACTATCATTAAACCATTCAGCAACATCCTCACAGATAGACACAGTTAGGAGTAAATTATTTTTTTTTCAAATATGCTTTTGGATCACCACTGGAAACAGCTGGTATAGCATTGTAAAGTAGACAATGTGACTGTTGTACGTGGGCTCCTTGGAAAGTGGTATATGCATATGAGACATGTGTTTGTATGCATGCAGTGCAAGGAATTCTCTTGTGGCAAAAAGCTCACCCATTTTCTGTATCTCACAGGTTCATGAAGGTGGCAGGGAACACAGTGGATGCTGTTACCTGGCAACAGTAGGTATTTTTTTTTAATTCCTCTATTTCTTCCAGTGTTACTAACTCAATAAATAAGAAGCAGTTTTGTTGGGGGACAAAATTGGAGGGAAGAAAAGAGGTCTTGTGCAGCATTCCTTAACTTGATAAAAACTCCTCTAGGTGTTTTTTATCCATAAGTTCTGTCATCTCTAAGCACAAGTCATTCTGGCTGAGGGTTCTGGGAGTTATAGTCCAAAACATCCTGGAGAGGATCTGGTTAAGAAAAGTTACTCAAGAAGTCCTCCTCCCCATTTTGTTTTGACTTCATTCTGGAAATATAACAGTACTTCTGACCAAGGTGGATCTCCAGTGGTTATTTGAGTGGACAAACTTTTTGGAAGAAAGATAACATATGGAGTAAAGAGTTATAGTGCTGCATGTGTTGTTTTGGTACTGGAGATTTCCATAGTGCAGAGGTGTGCAAGATGCTCATACCCCCACTCCAAACCCGTTCAAACACTCCAGAAAGCACTTGGTTTTATTTTTGCAAAACATAGCTGCAAAAATCCCATTGTGGTAGTTGCAATAGTTTTTTCCTTTTTTATTTTTCACCTTTTATTGAACAACCATACAAATAATAACAGTAGAAGATGACACCAAATAAATGTCAAACGATCTGTTGAGAGCACATAATAATGAAGACATGAAATATAACATACCACAAGCAGCTTATGGATTCATGATGGCTTGAGAGCTGATTTTCAAAGATGCAATGTTTAGAGATGAGATGCCAATCCAAAAGTCCATGTGAGTCCATGGGAAAAGCAAGTAGCAAGAGTAGTTAGTAAAACAAACTTTCCAGACTACTGTAAATGAAATTGATCTGGTCAATAATATTTTTTTTACAGTAGTTGGAACAAATTACAAAGGAATAACTTGGTCTTGCTTCCTATCAAGATAGCGTTATGATGAGTTTACATTGAGTGCCAAGCATTGATATTTTTTTTTTACCCTGGGAATTCTATTCTTGTTGTATTATTAACTGTCAGTTTCTTCAGAATAATCCTTGGAACTATGGTCTTGGCAAGATGTTCCACTGATGTTTCTGAAATTGTCCTGTGTTGTAAAGGGTCAGTGGGTTCTTTGTAGTACTTTCTTGGCCCTGAGTGAGGAAGGCAACCTTTTCACTTAAACTTTATGATTTTGACTGAGCAAAGATGGGAAGTGTGCTTATCTTTCTCTGCTGACTGGTAGACAGCAACATTTTATACCAGTATTTCCAAACTTTGATCTTCTGGATGTTTTGGACGTCAGTCCCCAGAACTCCAGATAGTTGGCTTAGCTGGTGGGAATTATGGAAGCTGAAGTCCAAAACAGCTGGAGGATCAAAGATGGGAAATTAAAACCTTATCTAGATGAATGCTTACAATTAAGCATGATACCATTTTTTAGCATCACTCCTTGTTGCTATAATGCTTCAGACTATATAGACGATTTTGCATTCTGATAGAAGATCCATAAGTAGTGCAGGCATATATTTTCGGGAAGATGCAATAGAATTATATTCACACTGAACTTGGAATCCCAGTAACTTGGAACAACATTAAGTCATTGTTATAAACTGTACTTAGCAGAAATACATAGTAACATCTGAGAAACAATTTTACATGAACTGTGGAATGCCCTTCATATTGAAGTTTATTCTTCTAAATAGCAGAGATATGGGAGCACCAATTTGTTGGAAGGGTACGTACAGTGAACGTTCAGATTCTGGAAAAGTTGCCCCATGGGAGATACTGTTAATAGAAAAGACTTGGTCTGAACTAAAGGAAAATGAAAAATGTGTAATATCTGATAATGGGTTAATTCGTCTGAGTGTACATATATTTTTTATGAAGAACAAAGCCCAACTGCATTAGCCACTCATCATTTCCATGAGAACACTACTACTGAGATGGTGGATGCTTCTAAATAGCAACAGCAAGCTAACTGTAGTAGCTAATGATCTACAAATGATTCAGTATTATTTGAACAATGATAACATGCACTAGCTAGACATTTTCAGGGGGATGGTCTTTAACAGGGCTGGGACAACTCTGGAAGGCAATGGATGTTAGCCTTCAGGAGAACTTGGGAGAACTATAAACCAAACCACCATCAAATTATTATTATTATTATTATTATTATTATTATTATTATTATTATTATATTTTACATGTACATAACAACACAGCACACATGCACATTAGTTCCAAGTGTCTTCCCAAGGGACTAGGATATTGGAGATATTTTCATAGAATGTGCACAGTTCCAAGAAGTACTGCCTTCCGCAGCATGTGGATTGATGTTTTGTCCAAATTAAGGCTTTTCAAGGTTTCTTGGAATGCCTCCAAGAGCAACAACCACTATTGGCACCACTGTTGTTCTCTTTTACCCTATTATTATTATTATTATTATTATTAGTATTCGACCATTTTTCTCTAGAAGAGACAAAATGCTGAACAATAGTAAAGATAATACAACACTATGCAAAACCTAAAGACTATAAACATTAAAATAGAATTAAACTTACAGCTATCTAAATTGAATAATTAAAACCATTAAAACAATTAAAATATGTAAAAACACACAACACCAATCAAAAGAGACACATTGGGCACAATGGAGGTGGTGGATATGTAACTCATAATTACTGATTAAATATGAAATAGTTGAAGGTAAAGGATGGTGGTGTAGAGGGGCCATCACAATCCATGTCACAAATCTGTACCCCCAAACAAGGTAAGAAACATTAGTGATGAGTTCAACTTTCAAATGCTTGCATAGTGATTGAAACAAGGAGGTCTTTCAAATTGCTTGAATCCAGAAATGTGGCACATGGAATAGAAAACAGCTTATGGATTTTCAAGAATAAACAAGTAATCAAGTTTCAGTATCAGGGAGTGAGTGAAACTTTGCCTATTATCTGTGGCCACATGAATATTATTTAGTTCAAAAGCTGCAGTGGAAAGATACCAGTTTCTCTGCCACTGACAAAAAGAGGGGCAGATGAGGTGAGGTGGTTTTAGTAGTGCTATAATTCTTAGCAGACGTTTCTGGAGCAAGAGGAGATTTGGAAATTCCTAAGTGTTGGGAAGTGGCTTTAATGTAATTAACTGAAATAAAAGGAGGGGTCAGATAATGGGGCAAAGGTTCCTCAACCATAAAGTGCAGTAAAACAAAAACAGCTGGGCTGAAGCCATCAAGTCCTGCTCATTAAATCCTCTCTGAGACTAATGGGTCTAGCAAACTAATTAGGGATACAATTTGAGAAAAGTACCACATAGTTCTGGTAAATTTAGGAGGCAGCAGACATCCTCAGTGGCTTGAATACTGCTCTTTCCATGGTGATACAAGCTTGGCTTTTGTGAACAGGAGTAGACCCCAAACACTGAGCAGACAGGTGTATGGTACAGCAATGCACGGTAATATGAAATATAACCCCCTCCCTTTTTCTTTACCATGATGCCAACCTGACTTCTGTTGTGATCATAAGATTCTAAGAGACATAATGTTTCACCCCAACTTGGAGGGATTTGCTTTAAAATACAAAAATACTTCCTACTGTTTTTGAATATGGAGCCCACTTTCTGGGAGATATGAAGACATTGCCTGCTACAAAAGGTGAAGAAATCCAGTAGTAGCAAAACTGGTTTGCCTTATTTCTGTCAAAGGCATCATGGCAGGGGGCTGCAACATAAACTTATACCACAGGTAACTGATGTACTGAGCCAGGCCAGTATCTTCCTTCACGATTTGTAGATGAGCTGCTCTTCATATTCAGTGTATAAACTGATCCTGTTCAGAGCCTATTGCTAGAAGGACTGAGAACTAGCTTGTCCAGCTATTTGTCCAGAAATAAAATTATTTCCACAAAGCAGATCAGACCATGTGAAGTGTGTGTTAGAGTGAACAATACCATATGTTTCAAATAACGGCATATAACAATTATAAATGAGTTCAGCTGATTATTCAGACAGCACTCATTTTCTAGGTTGGGAAGAATATTTATTTGTTGCTAATATAAGCTCATACAAAAACTGTAAGTGGCCAGTGCCACACTAGAAGAATATTTCCCTTTCACTGTTACATAAGGAATGCTTTTTCTGAGACAAACATATACATACAATGTCTTCCACCTTGTCACCTTGAACATGACCAGTCTTGTCTTTCAGAAGTTAAATAGAACCAGGTCTGGCAGTTACTTTGATGGGAAACTTTGTGAGAGTACCAGGGACCATTAAATAGGGCTTTAGAACCCTTCGTGACATGTACTGCTGCTAATGAGGTTGCCAATATTGGATTAGAAGGTGCAATAATACTATGTTTCGCTACAAGGCACATCTCTGTGTAGGAATGAAAAAGTATGCTTTGCTTCCTTCACAACTGCTACTTAATTCCCTAAACATTAACCCAAGAGCATCTGTCCACTGACAGATCAATGGCAATTTACTTTAGATAGTTAGTCTTACTAAGCTAATATTAGACTAATATGTTTTTATTATGAGTCAGTTCTGAGTCCCAATTAGAGTGAGTCTTTTGAATCAATGGAATATATATCTGGGTTGGTTCAGGTTCCCACAGGCTAAATGGATTTTCTCTGTTTGGTACTAGAACTGGATTTTGGCTGAAGTCCCCAGATTAATTCCTTCCCATCCCTTTTGTTATGGGGGGCATAATAACACTGTTGCACATCATGTAAGTGAAGTATTTGAACTTTGAGGAAAATTATTCTTTTTAGTATAATAGGTGAATCTAGCACGCAGTGAAACACAATGGGCTGGATCCAGTCAAACACAATAGATATATACTGTTTACACACATGTAAACACATACATGCACAGACTTAAATTCCATTGATTTCAGTGGACCTACTGTGAATATAATTAAGGACATTATTGCACAAGGCTCTAAAACAGGTCTTTCATTACAAACCCATCTCACTACTTTACAGTGAGTCCCCAAGTTACAAACATCTGACTTAAAAACAACTCCTCATTACAAATGGCGTGAGGCAACAGGAAGTGAGAGAATATCTATCCCTAGAAAGTGAAATGCACTCCTGCAAAAGTGATCATGGGAAAAGGTGTCTCCACCTAAACTTTTATCACCAATCATTGTTTCCAAGACAAACCATTTTTTTTAAAAAAAATCAAATTTTCACAAAGAAAATACACCTGTCTGCTCAGTGTTTGGGGTCTACTCCTGTTCACAAAAGCCCAGCTTGTATCACCATGGAAAGAGCAGTATTCAAGCCACTGAGGATGTCTGCTGCCTCCTAAATTTACCAGAACTATGTGGTACTTTTCTCAAAGTTAGGTGAAATCTTCTAAATGGGCACAGACTGCAAATCAAACACCACAGCGTTGTTAACCTTTTCTTAGACTATCCTATACAAAACAAAATTGACTGGAGTTACACTTAAAATGCACCTTTTTTGCCTCACATACAAATTCTCTTTAAAAACAAGTCAACAGTAACCATGGAACTACCTGTACTCTGTATACCTTAGCACTATCATAACCCAATTATGTTAGATTTTTCACCAGCAATGTCCTCCTGATGGAATAAGCAGAACATCCCCAGACATTTTCAGCTTGAATAGGTTTTAGACTTTGGAAGTCCCTGGGAATCCGCTTTTTAAGGGGGAAAAATGGTTGTTGTTGTTTTTCCACTCTCTCAGTATTCTTCTGTTATGGATAAAATAGACAGTTCAGACAGCAAAGTTATTGTTGAAAACAAAAACTCCCAAATTTTCTTGGGAGAACTAATACTTCATAGTGCTTTATTTTCATATCCCAATCAAAACATTTCTAACCTAATGTGTAAATCCACCCAGCACTTTTCTGGCTACAGACTTCTGCTGACTTGCTTCCAAAATTATTCTGCTACTATTTGTCCTTTGTTCTTATTAATTAATTCCAGTAATTGTACTTAGACTTTTTTTTTCTCTCTCAAGAAAGCTCATAGTGACTAATAGGGGAAACTAATGATAGAGAACCATATGTGTTCGGTGTGTGATTGCTGAAACACTGGTTTCTCTTCTGGGTCTGTATAGCATCATTAAATGCATAAGGAGAACCCTGCCAGGCCAAGATGTGGAGGAAATAGCAGAGCTGGGAATACTGTATCTGTAACAAGTTACCTTTGGGGAGGTAATACAAACATAATGAATATATACTTCAAAAGTTATATGATGAGTGGGTCTGAAAATACTGGGCTGTATATATAATCAGTAATATCTCTCAGTTATGTTTTAAGGGTGTTTGGGGGGCATTTCCAGAGACATTCTCAGGAGATTTTTTGTGTCTTTATGGTATTATCTTATCAATTTTGTTTCGTAATGAGCAAGGAAATGAATCATGAAATATGTCTTTAAACTGTAACACTAAAATTTGCTTCGGTATCAAGTTACATAATAGAATCCCTTTTGAAAAGGAAATTGTCAAATTCTGGGCCATAACTGTGTCCCCATTGTGGGTCCCCTAGCAGATACTACTGCGAATTAAATAGCCTCTAACACTTGAAAACATACCCTTTTCCCATATGTCTGGATCTGTCCCTAAATAAGACAATGAAGCCAGCGTGTTTATACTTGATCTGTTAATGAAATTACAGATCCGAGCAGAAGGGCCTAGTGAATAGCCATGTTGGAAAGCAGGGCTATCATTGTGTTTGCCTGCTAATTTTTCACTATTTAACAACAGCTATGGAACTAGGCACTATGTGGGGGACAGAAATATGTTCTAAGTCAAAGAGCTTGTTCACTTTGCTAGAGGGATAAGATGGGAAGCAAGAGAGATTTGGTATTCACAACTTTCTAGTACTGCGAGATGTGGAAGTACAGGCAAGCTGAAGAAGAAAGACTGCTGAAGAGAACAGTCATAGTGGAACTCTTAGGAAAAACAGGTGGTAAGGATTTTTTCTATGGCAGAAGGCACATAAATGAAAATAGTAGGAAATAGTGGAGCTTGTCAATAGGTGTTAATTTTATATAGATCACAGGGCAACCTTTGGGTATCAGAGGCGCGGTCCTTAGCCAGGGTGAGGGAGAGCACATAAGCTGCAGCCCCTCTCTGACTGTTGCCTTCTCGTTTTCATTCCAGTTACTACCTTGATGGCCGAGTGGCCAAGGTGACGGACTTCCTGAAAACGCGCCTGTTAGACACACTCTCTGACCAGATCAGGAAAATCCAGAAAGTGCGTGAGTGAGAGGGATGGCTGGGGCAAGAGGGCAGCATGTCTCCAAGGGTGGGGAGCTTTTACTCTGGAGAATGGAGCTTGGGTTTGCTACATCCATATCTAGAAAGGCCAAGCAGGGGTTTCACTTGGGTCTGACCTGGCTACTTCTCAGCCTTCAAGGAATCTGGCTTTCTGGTCAAGCCAAGGAAGTCCGGGAAAGGTGTGAAGTCATGCAGGAGATTCCCAGTGGACATCCACAGTTCAAAGTTCGCTGAGCTCCATCACCACAATGATATTGAGATTGGATAAGGCTTGGGAAAGTGGTCATACTGCCTCAGGAATTGGGGGGACTCTAGTCCAAAGTAGTAGTTTTTCCAATTCCGGGAGCATTTGTTATGGACTGAGACAGGCCATAGGGATCTCAAAATACCCAGTAGGATATCGTAGTATCTGTTTTAGCAGGCTGATAAAGACAGGAAAGTGGAGGTGGGGGGAGAACACACCTTTGGAGAATAAAGATATCAGATAGTCATTCCCTGAGTTATCTTACAGTTCATAGTTCTCAGGTCAGTGTTTAATTTAGGAAAGCATGGTGAACTTTCATGTAGAGCTCAGCATCAGTGGCTGAGTTTCTAATGAGACTACCTAGCTGGAATGTTTGAACCATTACTGATTGATATTAAACTGCATCTGTTTCATAAGAAGCCAAGTTTTTGCCTTGATCTGAGGCAGGATTTTCAACTGGGCTATCAGGCAAATTCTAACAAGAGATGAGTTATTCTGTTAAGAGAGCTGCAAGCTTCACAACACAAATATTAGGCCAAGTTAAAATGATGAACCCCTTTCTCCCTCTCCCTCGTTTTATTGCTTCAACACATTGCCTTCAGGTAATGAGGCAAGCCCTGGCAAGTAGCCAGACCTTCCAGGCACAGTGTCAACTCTCCTGTGCTGAGGCAGATGGGGCTGTAAACTGGCAACCTTTTTGCTCACTGATGTCCTTTTGTTTGCTGGCGCCGTCATGTCCTGGGCATGTCTGTGCTGCCAAGATTTGTCTTGTGTTACGAGGGCATTTCCCAGGCTGAGATCTCTGATGCCAGTCTCATATCTCCATTTCACCACTTCAGATACTCGGGAAAGTACCAGGGCCAGCTTGGTCTTGCAGTCAAGGCCTGTGGGAAAGGTTTGCCCATTCCAAGACTTAATATGCTGCTAGAATATGTACAGAACTATGGTAACTTTCCTTCTAGGCTGTAGGTGGTTATGATAAGGATTGCTTCATTCTTGCTACCTTTGTCATATCTTATTCTAAGAGCACATGAGTTGCTGTTATCAAATGGTCTGGTTGCCCCTGACACGATAAATAAATAAATAAAAATCCTGAGGGCTTAAGGAAGAACTAGGTGCATCTATATTTTGCAAGGTCTTTTGCCTTCTCTGCCAGAGTGTTGGTGCCTCGCCAAACTTAAACTATCAGAATTTCATGGCAGCGAGTCATGTCAGTTAAAGTGGTATCAAACTGCATTAATTCTACACTGTAGACGCACCCCTAGACCCTGTATGCTAACCAGCTGTTGTTGTCTAACCAGCATGTTGTCTTGCATATGACTGTTACTGCTTTAGTTAGTTCAAGGCAACTGTAGATAAAATATATGTACAAACACAAGGAGTTAAACTTCTCCAAGATCCATGCTGCCTGTATATATGTTATACATGAGTGAAAAATGTGTTTTTTGTATGCCCATTATATGTTTGTGCATTTATGTTTAAAAATATTGTGTGCAAAGTGAATCTCTGTTTCAATTCAAGGCAACAGGCAATCTATTAGCGTATATATTTGAAGACGATGCAAAATGATTGACTTTTTAAAACTGAAAAATAGCCTGGTTTTTATATTTGCTGCAAATCTAATGTGTGTGGTAGATTTTCCCTGTGGACTAAACACATTGATTTAATGTGATGCAACTTGACTAAAAGCAATGGCATAAAAAAAGAGCGTATACACTTATATAAATACATTATAAGATGCTAGACAAAAGATGAATTTTCTTATCTAGCCGATTGTGTGATGTTTAGATTGGTCACACAAACAAGTGCTGAGTCAGAAGATCCTTGAGCATTTATAGGAAAGACAGATTGTAAGTCATTTAAGAGCTGTATGTTAAGGGATGGCAAGATCACAGCAGTCAGAAGTGTGTAAGAACTGAGCAAACTGGAAGGCAGAAAAATGATAATTATGTATAGGTTTCTTGTATCTAAAGGTGTCTTCCATCCTGTGCTCTCCATACTCTATGACCTCAAGAGCTATGCAGTACCAGGCAATACCATTTGTGTTAACTGTCAATCACATTTTATAGATATCAGTTCCTGCAGGAGATTGCTGACACTGTTCTTTTCTTTTGACAATAAGGCTGTCAATGCACACGTGCCTGGAAAAAAAATTTGGCTGGAGGGCATTGGAGCCACCTCTGAAGGAAGCATCACCAACCTTTCGGATTCCTACGCTGCCAGTTTTCTGTGAGTCAACCCAGTGAGGGGCTCAGCAAAGTGGGAGATGTGTATTCATCAATAAGTGTGTTGATGGTTGCAGCTCAAGTTGCCAATTTCCTTCCTAAGGGAATGTGGCCACATTCCCTTAGGAAGGAAATTGACAACTTGATTCATGTGGATGACTGAATTAATTACTGGATTAACTCAACTTTCCCTTTTGGGTGACTTCTTATTTTTCCTAGAACATAAAAAGTTGAGATTCCTGAGAGCTGTGGACCTCATGTAGCCCCAATGTTGTTTTTATGCCCCACAAGATTATAATTCACACATTTTAATAACTTTTACCCCTACCCCACCCTGAACCTTTGCCTCAGGTGGCAAAAAGATTAAATCAGCCTTCTGGTGGAGCCCCCAGTGGCACAGTGGATTAAACCCTTGTGCTGGCAGGACTGAAGACCGACAGGTTGGAGGTTCGAATCTGGGGAGAGCACATATGAGCTCCCTTCGTCAGCTCCAGCTTCCCATGCAGTGACATGAGAGAAGCCTCCCACAAGGATGATAAAACATCAAAACATCCAGGCATCCCATGGGCAACATCCTTGCAGATGGCCAATTCTCTCACACCAGAAGCGATTTGCAGTTTCTCAAGTTGCTCCTGACATGAAAAAAAAAGCCTTCCGGTCACCTTTGATTTTATTTTGTGGGACTGATCTGTTCCCTAAAGGGTCCTGTTTTGGGGAAATGGTTTGGAGGAAAAGATCCAGGATACTCAAAGCTTCCCCATTTGCTATAAGAATACAAACAAACTTTGTAGGTAACAAACCTTTGCCCTTGATGACCTTGAACTGCATGAAGTTTACTTCTGAGTAAACATGGAAGCCTTCTATGAATGACACCATGGTAGAGGTTTGTTAGAGAATGTATGGATTTTACCTTTTTTTTCACCATAGAAATCACAGCAGATTTAGGCAGGTCACTGGATCTGTGAATCAGGTCTCTTATACTATCATACAAATCCAGATTATTTGATTTGAATTAGATTATCTCATAATGCAGACTCATATAATCCAGTTCAAAACAGATAATATGGATTTTCTGCTTTAATCTGGATTATAAAGCAGTGTAGAAGGGGCCTCAGTTATAACTTTTTATCTAAGAGCAGGTTTCATAGTGCTTTATTTATTTATTTATTTATTTATTTACTGCATTTGTTAACCGCCGTTCTCAGCCCTAGGGCGACTCACGGCGGTTTACAACATATAAAAACAGTTTACAACAAGGGCATATCAAAACAACAATATAAACATACCAATCAACAATACAAATTACACTAAATCATCCGCGCCATCTCATCTTAGAATCATAAACCAATCTGCTTACTGCTTACTGGGATTTATTTTTAAATACATATATACACACACATGACTTGCAGTTCTTTGTGCATTATGGAACTGTGCATTTTTACATGGATGTTACTGAATACAGTGGCATTTACTACTGGTATAAATGCAAGTTCTCTGTAAAATATTTCCACCAGCAACATCTGTTTACCAGTGACTAGAAAGAAATAGGAAACTTTGTTTGGAATGTAATACCGGTTAGACAATGGAAAAGTTGTCCAAAGATTCTGGAATGTTCTTTCCTACTGGAACTTTTTAAGAAGTAATTTTCAAGATCTGGGAAAATTGTGCAAGTCCAAGACACAGAATAAGATAAAACCCATTTCTGGCCATACAATTTAACTACATTTCATAGTGGCCTTCTCCAAAATCCACAAGTGTCTTCTGATACCTTTACAAAAAAGTGTTTTCTTCTTTAAACTGTAACTCACTTGATCAGATACAGCTGATAAAATCGATAGTATCTACAAAAGTTGACAGAATCCACAAATATTTATGCATAATGCTTTCCCCAATATATAAGGTTGTGTGAGTTTCTGTGTTGTTTATGTGGCAAAGACAGCTGAATAACCTCTGTAGAAACTTCTTAAGGCGTATCAGCTCTATGCAGTTATCTATATATATATACCTGTATAAGTTGAGGGCAGGTTTGGGGGCCAAATTATAGATTTTTATGACCCTTGAATAAGTCATGAGCCATTCAGTAGAGAAGGGGAAGCACCAGTGCTGCCCCAGGAGGCCATCCACCCCTGACCACTGCCACCATTTTCCCACTCAGGCATTCAAAAATGCCAGAAGCAGTGCTACGGTGGAGAGTATAGGATAGGTCCATGCTTCTTTAGATTCTCTTGGGACATATTAAGATTTTGTCTTTTACCCCATTACTCAAAGAAGGGGATGGTTCCTTTTTTTAAAAAAGAGTTAAGGTACAGTACTCATAATGTTCTGTGGATAAGTCAACCTAGTTTATAGGACACATTCTTTTGATACCCTTTCACGACCATTTGCAGAAGTGATGTAAGATTCTGTAATCTAGATCAGGCATCCTGAAACTGCAGCCTTCCAGCTGTTTGGACCTCCAGCTTCCAGAATTCCACCATTGAACAAGCTGGCTAAGGTTTATGGCAGTAGAAGGCCTAAACAGCTGGAGGATACCTGATATAGATTATTGAAATACCAAATTGGGATAGCTCAGCATAACTTAAAAATATTTATTAAGCTCAGGATATACATAACTCAGGATTTATCTTTTCCAGCAGCCTGATCACTGTTGATTCCCTCCGCTTTCACCAATTTTTCCTTGCTCATAGAGTATCAGATTCACAGTGGATGTGGAAGGTTTCTTTTTCTTGCATAGCTCATATGAAATTATGAATTTAGAGGGTTTCACATCTCAATGTAGAGCCCATGAGGCTATGTTTTGACATTCTTACTAGTTTACATTGGTTGTCTGGTCAAGGAATGAGTGTATTTTCCTTATGGAGTACAGGAAAGTGATGTCATGGGTTGCAGGCCTCAAGGTGGGAGGTTGGAAAGAACAATCTTGGCAAATTTTCAAATCTTCTGTGAAACAAAACAAGGAAATTGCATGGGGCATTTATAGAGACAGAGTTCATGGTATTCAGTCTATAGAAAAAGGAACCATTGGGAACATAGAGTTCGACGTGTTGGAGACAGTTTCAGCAACAAAAATTAGTGGAGAAACTTGTCCTTCCTGAACAAGTTCACTTCGTCACTGCTGGGGAGGAAAGGTTGGCAATTTTGGCTGGTTTGCCTAGCTGAATGCCAATATGCTTCTCGGTATTGTTAGCTTGATTTAGGTTAATGTTTCTGCCTAAAAGTAAAGTATGCCACACAACCTTTACCTGTAGACTAGAGAATGCCCAAAGAGATCACTCTAGCTTCAGCAAAAGGACTCAGAACCCCTCTGCCAAATAGCAGAAGAAAAAGAAACACCCTTCTCCATTTTTCTCTTACCTTTGAGAAGTAGGAGATACATAGGGCTTCAGTCAGTGTTTAGCAGAAGAGCTCTGGTCCCTTTGCTGAACAGCACTCCAAAATGCACCCACCCCACTGAGATTGGCTTTTGGGCTGAATGAGGCAGCAGATGTTTGATACAGTTGTTGGCGGCAGCTTCCTCCTGGGCTTCCCAGTCATTCTTTTCTCTCACAGCTTGTCCTGCGTCCCCTATTCTTGTATTGTCCAGCTGTACACTAAAGTATTATTGTCCTGCTACTATCTAAACTTGTCCATCTTCAGGTTGAGTAGGGAATGCTATCTCGCTACTACTACTGACGGAATAAGATGGATTCTGAGCATGTGGTACAAGGCTGCTATTTTATGCTTGGACCCCAGATACCAAAATGTCTTGATATTGCCTTGCCCATTTCTAGGTCTCCTGAAAAGAAAATAGATAAGGGTCATGTAGGGTTTTGGTTCACTAATGGATACAATTGTTCTCAAGCAATGGGATTACTTGCTTTAAAGCTAGATGGGCAACTCTGCAAGCTATATCAGTCATTTGGCAAGACTCAGAGCCCTTCTGCTGAGAAACAGTTGAGAAAGCTCCCTTCCACTTTGAATATATTAAGCTGGAAACAGATAGTGCATCTACACTGCAGTTAATGTGCAACGGTTTGGTGCAGTGGAATCATGGGAATTGTTGTTTTACAAGGTTTTCAAGATCTTCAGCCTTCTCTGCCAAAGAGAGCTGATGTCTCATCAGAATTGAGCCATGCAGTTAAAGTGGATACCACTTTAACTGTTTTTGCTGCTGCTAATGTGTGACTTTGTTGTTTCTGCTACTAATAAGTGGCTTTACAGGGAGTCTTTGTTGTTGTTGTTGGTTTGTTTATTTAGAGCAGGGGTCCTCAAACTACGGCCCAGGGGCCGAATACGGCCCTCCAAGGTCATTTACCTGGCCCTCGCTCAGGGTCAGCCTAAGTCTTTTGGCTATCTCATCAGCCAAAAGCAGGCCCACACGTCCCAATGAAATACTAATAAGTTTATATTTGTTAAAGTTGTTCTTCATTTTAATTATTATATTGTTCTAAAGTGTTTTGCACTACAAATAAGATACATGCACTGTGCATAGGAATTCATTCTTTTTTTTTTCAAATTATAATCTGGCCCTCCAACAATTTGAGGGTCTATGACCTGGCCCTCTGTTTAAAAAGTTTGTGGACCCCTGATTTAGAGCATTTATATCCCACCAAATCAGAGCTTGGAAGCATTACTTTCATTAGTATAACTCCCCAGATCCATGCAGTGTGGGATCTCCTCTGTGTGATTCTGTGGATAATTATCCAAAAATAAAGTTTCTGTGGCTTTCATGGTCTTTGGACACACAGCTTTTGAACTACCATCAACTTTATTCCTAACTTGGAAGCTGGAGAAGGGACAGGAAATACCATCACCAGTGGCAGGTTATGGTGTCTATATGTGAGGGATAATTCAGTCTACTCCAAGTTTGAGCCACAGGTTCAAAGGAGTGATCCAGAGATCCCATTCATCTAAATGAGTGCAGCAAAAATGTGGGAACTAAAACCTGGAGCAGATTTGCCATCCTTCTGAAATGGCAGCCATCCATTGGCATGGCATTGTATTTTGAAGCATTAAACCATGTGTACCATCCAACCTAACCCCCTGCCATGCAGGAATACACTCAAGGCACTCTTGAGAGCCTCTGTTTAAAAACTTCCAGGGAAGGTTTTTAAACTTCACAACACTCCAAAGTAGAATATTCCACAGCTGAACAGCTGATAACAATGATTGGCTGCTTTTTGTCTTTGCCCAAGAATAGCTGCCATGATAAGGATGATGAGTACAATTGCTTCAATCTGTGATGGCTGCTATTGTTTAGTTACAACTATAATACAGGGAGTGTTTGAGTCTATACCCTTACATTGGTACAAACTTTATAAAACATTTTTCATTCTAGTTTAGTCATAAACTATTCTGAATTATGTATAATGATGAATATTTAGCCGACCTATTAAAGATTAATATGCATTTTAAGGTGTTTGGTGTGTAATTATATCCTCGTCAAATTCATGTCCCAGTTGGTAGCTCCAGTTACACAGAAAAGTCTCACATTTTAACTTCTTGGGTTAAGGATCTCAAATATGGAAACATCTGCTCATTTATATGTATTATATAGAAAAAAATTATTTAACCACAGCCAGGAAATATAATAACAAAATAATAAATTATCAGAATTCGTTCTGAAATAATAATAAATGGAAAAATACACGTGGCAATTAAATCCAGAATGCTGCATATTACAACCAGAAATTCTCATATACCTTATAAATATATGATTAAAGTAGTTCTTCAAGTGCATTAGATCCACTTAACTCTGATACATAAAAGGATATGCCACAATGTATTTGTTAATCTTGCAAGTGCCACAGAACTCTTGTTTATGTAACTTTTATTACTGAGTACTTCATTATGGCCTATACCAGCAAAAGACAGGTCCTCACAATTTCATTGCTAAGAGACTTGTAGTTTTTCAGTGGCAATTTACCTCATGGCTGATGGTAAATATATGCTTCAAGAAATCAGTTAGCTTGCTACTATTAGATATAGCAGGTAAAGGATTGTTGGTGCAAAGCTGTGATGGAAATCTAAAGTTCCAAGTCTATGTTGCTTTGATATAACAGCTTGCAATCCATTACTTTAATGTTACATGTAAACCAATCCTTGGGTAAGATGTATGCACAGGTTCTCTGGGTTTTCCCCCAAATGCGTAAGCAGGACTGCAGCTGAAACGAGCAAATTTAAAGAGAAATAAATTCGAACATGGAATGATTTTCTTCCTGTACGATCGCTTTGCTTCTCTTGAACCTCAGGGACTATCACAGATAGTAATGGAATTAGTTTTCTGGCTATCACTGAAGATCTCAGCTGGGATCTATATAATTGTGTGTGTAGTAATTCCAGCACAGCCTTTAATGGAAAAAGGGAAATGTGTATCACTAACCTTGTTCCCCAAAGTAGTTTTCACCAGATATATTCACAACAGTCTATTGCATTAACATCTAACTCTTGAAAAACACTTGAGTTTCTCTTGCTGAAAAGAATGTGGATTATCAGAATGTAGGCAGGATAGGAAACCCAATAGAGTGTAGAAATCATTCAGGAATTTAATTTTAAAAAATTAAGATGTGAAGCAAACACATCAAAATAAATATACAAACCAGAACTTAATTATCCACTGAATTTTGCACCTCTTCAAATTTCACAATATCACTTGGTAGTTCAGTGTATGCATTTAAATGTTTCATTTGAGAGAAATGGACTTCCTGCACCCCGAGGCTATTCTGTGGCCCTCAAGGTCCAATCTTATTTTGTGGGGTCATGGGATCCAAAAGTTTGTGTCCAAATACCCACTGGAGGGCGGTGGGGCAGTGCTGTGAAAATGTGCCTGCATACTTTGGAGGGCAAGGCACTTTTTCCAGGTAAGGACAGTGGCAGACTGACCAGGATGTCAGCTTACCTAATGGCAAGCGAGCTTCCTTAAACAGTATTGTATTTACATTTATTATCTACTGCACATTGCCAGTAATATGCTCTCTCTCTCTCTCTCTCTCTCTCTCTCTCTCTATATATATATATATATATATATATATGCTCAACCTCCTCCAGTCATGCTGGTGGACCTAGGGATTGCTAAATTGAACTCCTCTAAGAACCCCTAGATCTACCAATGTAATTCTATGTTCCGCTTCCAGCAGAAGTGTACATAGAGTCATGCTGAAAGACCTTAAAATTCCCAAAAAGGTGTTCTCTCAGGTAAAAAATTGCCATTTCTTCATTCACGGTTTTTCACTTTCATGGAGGTCTCTAACCCCAGTTAATGTGAAGACCTGAGTGTAGAACTATATCAAAATAATAAAAGGGGAAGATAATGAGGGGAACTCAACAATTAAAGCTTGCAATAGCTGACATAATGAAAGGCAACTAAGGAGTAATTTATTAGTTGAATTGAAGAAGAAGCAATAAAAGATCAGGAGCTAACAGCAGAAAGGTTATAATTAAAGGCGCAGTAATTTTGAAAACCTCATTCATGATTTGCCAGTCCATATTGGCACTACATTTTTTAAATCACAAAAATAATAAGAGGGTAACAGAGAAAATAATAGGTTACAGCTGGTTGACAACACAGTTACCTGAATTGACCATAAAATAAAGAAAATATGTTATCTTGTGATGTAATTACAACTGTGTTGTATATACATCCAGCTCATTTGCTTAGTTCTATGGGTTACTTTAGTCCAGGCAGTTTCTTTCAGTGAATCTATCTCATGAGAAATTGTGATAGGGAAATTGAAGAAGGACCAGGGTAATATGCAGTGAAAAGAACAACAATGATAGTAGACTAGTACATCTGGAGCAATCTTTCCCAGTTTTGTTTTCTGTAGAAATTCTGGACTATTTCCCATCATTGCTAACTACTGAGCATGCTTTCTAGAGTTTATGGAAGCTTTTGAAGGGCACCAAGATAGGGAAAGACTGTTCAGGAATAGACAGGCTTTTCCCCAAGATGTGGTCAGAGTGAAGGGTATTTTTTTTAGAGGAAACCAAGGTCTGTACTGTCTGAAAAATTGTTTTTATCTGCCAGGTGGCTGAACGCTCTTGGGATGCTGGCCAGTCAGGGAATTGATGTGATAATGCGGCATTCATTTTTTGACCATGGGCACAGCCATCTTGTGGACCAGGACTTCAACCCCCTACCGGTAGGTGTGTGCTCTTCATCCTGCACCTTCTGAACTTCCTCCTTCATTGGCATGTTCATATTCTGTCTCAGCACTACCAATCTGTTTGGTTTACTGTTCCATTGCTGTAGATACACAGTATACTATATAGACCATTCTTTCTCCACTGTTTTATGATTCATATGAATTTCCTTTTCATTCTCCCCTTTTCAGTTCTGGCTTTAAATGAGTATTTTTTTTACCAATTGAGATATACGACACAATGTTTTAGTCTTCCTCTTCAAATCACATATTTATTCCAGCTACACTTATCTTCCTGTGTCTCTGCTATCCCTTTCAGTGTTGTTAAGTGTGCTCAACAATACCCTTTTCTCCCCCTCCCCCCAACTTTTGCTCATCTTCTTGATCCTTCCTCAGCTCCTCTCACAGTGTCTCAGCTGTATCAGTCTGGGTTTTTCCTCTCTCCCTTTCCTGTTACCAGTCAGTAAATCAGAGGATTTGTGCTTGACTTCTGTGCCCTTGACCTGTTCTTCAGACTCTTGGCTGTATCACAAAATTATTTTTTTATATAAAAGAAAAAGAAAGGGGGAAAAGAAAGAATAATCTATATGGAGCTGAAAATCCATTGCTCCTTGTGGCCTGTTTGAACTCTGCTTGAAAATACATTTTTCCAGATTGGTTTCTTTCAGTGCTAATAGGAGACATTAGTTAATGTCAAGCTCAACATGTTGAAAGCAGATGGGGCAGGGTTACCTCTGGTGCTGGAACGTTGTCCATCATGAGAGTCTCTGTGGGACTCTCATGGGGTAAAAAAGAGCGAGAGAGCAAGGAGCTCCATGGGGGGTGGCAGGCAAGCTGCAGACCCCCAAGGAGGGCAGGGCAGGGAGGGAGAAGAGGAGAGGAGGTTTAGTGCCCTGAACAAGGCTATGGGAACAACCAAGCTAAGGCAGCCAGATCCTTGGGGAAAGACTAAAGAACCAAGAAAACAGGGCTGAGCAATGTTTAGATTTATGGGAATGAAGGTGAAAGGAGTTCACAACTTCACACAGCAGGGCAGTTCCCTTCAGTTAAATGCAAACCTTCTCATTTGTAGCTCTTCAAAAAGACTGAGGTTGTTGCCTTTCCAAGTGTGCAAGGGCTCTAATAAGAAAACCGTATGTAAAAGGTCTTTAAAAGTAGCAGGTTTTCTTTTCATCTTTTTCAGTCTAATAAATTCTACACCTAGCAAGTGGAACTTTTGGCAGCACTGGGATCTCCCCAGCTAGGAATTTACAAGCCTGGTCCAGGGTACCAATCTGAGAGACACTGCCAGCGGGCTCCAGGAATGAAGCATGGGGATCTGGGAAGTAGAAGGGAAGCCACAAAAATAGAGCCCAATCTGTTATGAACTGTGGATTTGGCATTCTTCTTCATTTAGTCTCTAGGAGACCTTCGGCTTCTTCAGTTATCTTTCTCAGTTAATCAATTGTTGGTTCTGACTCGATTGGCTTCAGGCATCAGGAAAATGTATTAGAGATGTATGTCTACCTCCTTTTAACATTGCTTTTGCCCAGTTTGTTCTCTGAGCACTTCCCTAGTACAACATTCCCACACGTGTGTGAGATGCATGGAAGCATTCCCTAATCCCAGCTCAGTCCCAGAAAGACTGAGGGGAGAAATAGATCTCTGAGGCTTGTCTGTTTCTTGCTCTGGATTCAAACGGGAATAACAAAATCTGCCTAATAACTAGGGGATAGAGAGGAAGTCAGGGAAGAGAGAGAATGTATGTTACAGATAATTATCAGGCTCCCAAAGGATACATGCAGAACAACCTGTGTTTTATGGAGCCAACTAATATTGCACCTGCTCTCAGCTAATCACTGCAATGTAAGTACAAGTTGAGCATCCATATCCAGAATTCCAAAATACTCTGAAATCTAAAGTTGTCCACATTAGGAGCTGACATAGTGACTGTGATGATTCGTGAAGATGCCACTAATTTGTGATGAGACCATCAATTTGTAAACGTTTGTAAAGGAGCCACCATTTTGTAAGGGTTTATTAAATTGATAGTCCAGCTTATAGCTAATAATATTGATTTGGTCTTTCTTCTGTGTAGCGTGACTTAATTTGGAAAGGAATTGTATCAGAGACAAGGCTTTAGGAAAAACAGTAACAAGTTTATTGAAATGTAGAAGGAGCGTGATGGTTTCAATGTAACTTAACTCTTAGAAGCACAAATCTTCAAAGATTACATTTATAACATTCCTTAAACAACTCTGGGAAGGACACTTCCTTCCACTAAACAGGTTTCAAACTTATTTTTCTTTAAACTGTGTTTCTTTCCTTAATGTTACTTCTGTTACAAGCTTATTCTTTCTTTGTGATGTTTCTGTTGCAATAGAGATCCTCACTGGGTTTCTCTCACCCTTCTCTCATTTACTAGCTATTAATATAATTAAGTCAACTCGACTTATTTAAACTGCTCAGGCTAAAAGCCAAAACCTTCCTGATTCTCTCTACTATAGAATCAGCCTTTACCTGTAGTTTTTAAACTACAGATTATCTTCCTGGTTCTCACTACTCAACAGAACCAGCCACTCCTACAGTTCACAGACTGTAGACTAACTGTTTCAAAATGGCTGCCCTGCCAAGTGGCAGTTGGCTCCGCTTCTGTTTCCATGGTAACCCAGCTCAACATGAGCTGAACTGGCTACCATCCCCCTTAGTTATGCAACATTAAATACTTACCCTTTAAAACATCTATCTATAATTATACATAACTGCAAGTTAAAAATTTACACTTCACCACAGTGACGCTTTTACTTTCTTATGATTCAAGTACACAAGCTGTTTCAGGCAAAGAATTATTACAAATATTTTACAACAGGCTATGTGTTAAAGGTATATATGAAATATCCATGTTTAGACTTGGGTTTCTTTTCTACAATATTTCATTAGGTATTTATATGAAAAAAAATTCCAAAATCTAAAAAAATCAAAACATTTCTGGTCTCAAGCATTTTGTATAAGGGAAACTCAAAATACGTATTCCAAAATCTAAAAGAATTCAAAACATTTCTGGTCATAAGCATTTTGTTTAAGGGAAACTCAAACTCAAAACTCAAGCTTTTAAAATTTATTTATATAACATAAGGATACCATTCTTTGCAGTTCAGGAGGAACATAGAAAAGTAGATCCAGAATTTGACAAAGTTATGTTTGTGTATTGTGGGCATGGGTAATAGCGGGGATAAGTAAAGGTAAAAGTTGTCCTCTGACATTAGGTCCAGTCGTGTCCGACTCTCGGGGTTGGTGCTCATCTCCATTTCTAAGCCAAAGAGCCGGCATTGTCTGTAGACACCTCTAAGGTCATGTGGCCAGCATGACTGCATGGAGTGCTGTTACCTTCCCGTCGGAGTGGTACCTATTGATCTACTCACATTTGCATGTTTTCGAATGGCAAGGTTGGCAGAAGCTGGGGCTGACAGCGGAAGCTCATGCCGTTCCCCGGATTCAAACCTGCGACCTTTCAGTCAACAAGCTGAGCAGCTCAGCGGCTTAACCCACTGCACTACCGGGGGCTCCCAATAGCGGAGATTTGGGGGGGGGGTGTCCCCAAAAGCAATTTTTCTGATATCTGTCCCAAACATTGTTCCATGTAGCTGCTAGCCCAGTATGCCAGCCCATACTAATGAGCATCAGCTATCCCAAGTGTAAAGCAATATGTTTTCTTAACTTGCTCTGGAAATGCTAGGAATTAAACATACATGGGAAATGTGTGCTCTTTCTGTAGTATAAACGATAATCTCTAAGGTGTTGCACACATTTCACACTACTTCTCCTACTATAGAAGAGACTCTTATCTGTGCTTCCTATCCTCTGGCCTTTACAGTATATGTCTCCTCTTCCTTTTTCTGTGATATATCTCTCTCTTTCTCTCTCTCTCTCTCTCGAGTGAGAATATTTTCTCCTGCCCTTGTCAGGTGAGTTGCTAGAAGGATGTTAAATGATAGCAATGGCAAGGCTGAGTGAGACCAGACTGTGAACTTGGGGTGAGGTGTGGCGTCTGCTCTTTTCCCGTGGGAGCTATCAGGGAGATGAAAGCGGCTGTTTGGACCTGTGCAGGGCTGCTGGGATGTGAAACTAAATCCTCCCACTAACTCAGTGACAAAGACTTTTCCACATGCTGTCTTTCTGTCTTTCCTTTGTGCAAACTCTCAGATGCTGAGAGAAGCAACAGCATCAATCACTGCCTTGGCCTGGCTGCCCATCAGCTGGCGATGAGCTCGGGCTAGGTGCCCTGCAAGGGTTCAGTTCCTTTGCTTTCCATGGCAGATCCAGTGCAGCTGAAATAAATGCCCCCGCCCCACAGATGCTCTGATGAAGTAGATGCTATGATAGCTGAGGTCATGTGGCTCATCTCAAGTAGCTCAGAAATCCAGGGGATAATTCTCCCTGCCAACACAAATGTCTTTCAACTCTGCTGCTGTTCAAGATCAAACAGAAAATGCAGTGTCTTCAAATACCACCCATCTTCTGCAACTATATAGTCTGTAATGCAGCGGGATAGTGCTTTCTCTGATCCTACTAAATAGAAAAGTTACACATCTGTAAGTTGTTCTATAGGAAGAATAAGCAGCTGAGTGATTTGCAGAGCCTGGAGGTGTTACTTTTTTGGACTATGGCTTCCAGAATTCCCTTGCTAGCCATGCTGAGTGGTAAATTCTAGCTGTTGTAATCCAAAAATAACTTTTCTGAGCTCTGATGATTTAAACCTGTGGCCTTTAGGTGGCCCTGCAGGATGCTGGCCTGTTACTACCCTGGAAATAGAAATTGCCATAGTAGCAGTAAAGTCTGCAATATGTGCTTGCTCAACTTCATCAGTGTCTCTGGTCACAAAGAGTGACCCCCTCCCCCCCCCCCACCCATTCATATTTATAGAAGGAAGAGTTCAAAGCAGCCATGGAGCCTGACTGCTGATGGCATTGAACTGAGTTCCCATCCACGTTACATGTCTGTACTCTGTCAGTAAGAGGTGATGACAAGGAATAACTCACTTATTCCTCTTAGTTACTGAACAGGCTGAGGAGACTTTGCATTCTTTGCTAGTACATACCAGCAGCCAGTAGCCTGCAATCCCTTTCCTTAAACATCATAGTAGGGCTTGGCTTCATTCTGGCATAATCTTTTGGGTAGTCTGCCTAGTTTCAGTCTCCATTATACACCACTACACTTCTTTGCCTAACAGCCCAAAGAATCAATCCAGATATGTATATGTCTCCTCTTTCTTTTTTCTGTGATCTCTCTCTCTCTCTCTCTCACTTGAGGTTTTGCGTGGCATCTAAATAGTGAAGGCATAGACAGCATTAGGGTACTAGATTGAGTTGTCTTAAAATAGGAGCACTCAGTTGCACAAACACACACAAACACATGCCAACATGGTGAATGGTGAATGAAAATAGTTGCATTTCTTCTGGCCATTTCTTTGGCTGCAATACAGCACCCTTTCCTGAAAAAAGAATTTTGGGTGTGGGAATTCTAGGAGTATGTGGCATGTTAGTGTAACAAAGTTACTGAAAATGCATCTATCTTTTAAAAAAAAATTAGGAGGTTTGTGGACCCTAGGGACTGCATGCTTCCCATAACCTGCATTTTCCCCATCCCTGTCTTAAAGGAATATAAGCAAAAGGGAAGACTTCTTTGGGTAGCTCAGACTTGTAGAGTTGTTTGTGGAGAACAAAGCCACCTTGGCATGCTTTGGTCATAGTTACTGTGCAGGAAAATGAACATCCATACTAAAGCTGAAGGCAACTGCAAACATTTTGGGGTTGACTTTCTTCCACCAGTATGTACTGGCTCAAGGAAGTGGAGGCACAATCTGTATATTTAGAGTTTCAAAAGAAAAGCAATCTCTCCTTAATTTCTCCATTCTTCTCATAGTTTAATTCATATCCTGCCTTAAATAGACAAACTTGTTCATTTAGTGACTCAGAAATCTTCTGCCTAATGGCATGGGGGCTGCATCCACTACAGTATGTCAGAAATAAGTAGCACTCAGCTAGCAGTGTTACAGAAAGATGCTACCATTCTTTGCAGAAAGCAGTAAAATCTTTCTCACACCTCATAGGCCTTATAAAAAAGCAGCAACACCATGCCTTATTCACTAGCTACAGAGTGATTTTGGCACACTCTTTTTCAATTCTACCACATCTTTTATTTCCATAAGTTAGAGTACTCTTTTTTCAAAACTGATGCAATTCGTGCCAGAACATTGGGACTTCTGATTATCTAATGGTTACTGCAAAGAATTACCTAACCTCAGAGCTGAGAAAAGTTACATATTTGAACTATAGCTCTCTGAGTCCTCCAAACAGTAGAAGAATTAAAGATCGAAAAAATAATTTTAAAAGCTTGGCATAGTTTTAAACATGGCAGATCACTGCACTGTCCGTCCAATAGACTTGTGATGATGATCATAATTTTATCCATTTATATTCCACTTTTCTCCTAAACATGAGGCACAAGGCAGCTAACAATATAGTTAAAAGCAATACAGATTTATAACAATACAACAGTGGTTCTCAACCTTCCTAATGCCACAAGCCCTTAATACAGTTTCTCATGTTGTGGTGACTCCCAACCATAACATTATTTTTGTTGCTACTTCATAATTATAATTTTGCTACTGTTTGCTACATATCAGGTCTTTTGTAAATATCTGATATGCAGGATGTATTTACATTCACTGGACTAAATTTGGCACAAGTACTCGATATGCTCAAATTTGAATACTGATGGGGTTGGAGGGGGATTGATTTTGTCATTTGGGAGTTGTAGTTGCTGGGATTTATAGTTAACCTATAACCAAAGACCATTCTGAACTTCACCAATGATGTAATTCAACCAAACTTGGCACATAGAACTCCCATGATTAACAGAAAATACTGGAAAGATTTGGTGGGCATTGACCTTGAGTTTTGGTGTTGTAGTTCATCTGCATCCAGAGAGCACTGTGGATCCAAACAATGATGGATCTGGACCAAACCTGGCACGAATACTCAATTTGCCAAAATATGAACACTGGTGGAGTTTGGGGAAATTAGACCTTGACATTTGGGAGTTGTAGTTGCTGGGATTTATAGGTCACCTACAATCAAAGAGCATTCTGAACCTCACCAATAATAGAATTGGGCCAAACTTCCCACACAGAACCCCCCATGACCAATAGAAAATACTATGTTTTCTGATGGTCTTTTGTGACCACTCTGACACCCCCTTGCAACCGCCCCAGGGGTCCTAACCCCCAGGTTGAGAAACGCTGCATACAACAACTTCAATAATAAGTTATTATTTTATAAACAAACAATTTATATAATTAAAAACTCTAAATTGATTAAAATCTTAAGCCTGCACTGTGTAGCATTAAAATCCCACTTCAAGCAGTTTCTCAAACCCTGGCCTTAATTTTTTTTAATTTGCTGGTGAAAGGAGAGCAAGGATGTGGTTATGGGCCTTCCTAGGAGATAATTTCAAAGTCAAGTAACAGCCACTAAGCAGGCTCTATTGTTCCCCTCAAATAAGCCTGAAAAATGTGAGGTAACAAAGAGAAGTCTTTCCCCAGAAGATCTTAAAGCTCTATTGGGCTCATAAATGGAGATGTGGTTTCTAAATAGCCTGGACCTAAGCTGTATCGAGCTTTATAGCTCATCTCCAGCAGTTTGAATTGTGCCTGGAAATGGACCAGCGGTCAGTGAAGTTGATGCAACAAAGAAGTTGCGTGCTCTCTGTTGGCTACAATTATTTGTACCAACTGAAATTTCTGAGCATTTTTTAAAAACAGCCCCACACTGAGCACATTACAGTAATCCAAGTGGCATGTGACCAAAGCACGTCTAACAACAATTTTCTTTAAAGTGCTTACATCTTTTAATTGTGTTCCAGACGGTGAAAATGAGTTTAGGACTGGAATTCTGTATTGTGGGGATGGAGCACAGAATCCTATATGCACCTTGACTGGAAATAATAAACTGGTTGCCTCAGAGATGCATCCTGAATGTGTCTTGTCTGCATATTTGTGGCTGGTGGCATTCTTTGTTGTTGGACTGCATTTCATTTTCAGGCGCGAACATGCATCTCTGGAAGGAACAGGACGTGAAGTGTGGAAAGCAGAACCACAAGTGACATTTTATGTTCCTCTGTGTTTGCCAGTAACAGCTCTCAGAGGGCTGTGAGTCAAGGGACTATTATACTTCTGCTACTTGCCAGGTTATAGCAACATTTCTTCACCATGTGGTTAGTGCACAATTTCACAGTCCTGGCCTGGTTGTAAAGTTGTACTGGGCCCTTGAGAATGTATCCTGTAATGGCTCTGCCAGGAGAACAGCATGTCTGGTTAACAGGATTGTATGACAGGTCGTCTACTTCATGCAGTTTCCAACACCTTCTATCTTTAAACACACCTGTGTGACAGACCCCTGCGTCACCAAACTGCCTTTGGTGGCATAACTGAACTCTGCTAAAGGAGACTCATTCATTCTAGAGCACTAAGGTCCAATATGTGACAGAGCTTATGTCTTTCAAACAGCTATTGTACAAGGGGAAATTGGGGCAGGTGCTGTTTCTTTTAGCAAAGGAAAACTGTATATTCCAAACATTCTGCCTTCCACTTAGCTGTTAAAAATAAAAGTGTTCTGTGTAGTATGTTTGGAAAATGAAACTGTTGCTTCATGATATATTGTGGTTAGTTTTGGACACAGAGTTTATAAACAAGCCAAAGTATGGTTGACACCCTGGGCTTCCCTAAAGGCCTATCTCAGGAGTAACCCATATGCCTTTTCCCCCCTGGCAGGATTACTGGCTATCCCTGCTCTACAAGCGGCTTGTTGGGCCTAGAGTACTTGCTGTGCATGTGGCTGGCCTGCAGAGGAAGCCTCGCCCTGGCAGAGTGATTCGTGATAAGTTACGCATCTATGCTCACTGCACCAGCCACCACAAGTGAGTTATTGTATTACTGTAAACAAGTGCTTGATGGGAAGATCAGGAGCATAAGTGACTAGACGACTCCAGGTTTACTTAGCACTGACTTCATCCTGGAAAGGGAGATGTGAGTCTCTGTAGCTATACCTCCACCTTCCAAAGCAAACATTGGAAAAAAATATTTTCCTTTGACTGCCATTATCTCTCTCCCCCCCCCCCCCCCCCCCCAAAAAAAGCTGGTATATTCTAGTCACAAAAGGTATCTGTTCCTGGGGCCCTATACCTGCCAAGTATGTGAGGGATGGTTCTTATTTCTCTCCCCCTCTCACTATTCACTTTGCACAATTCAGTATCCTTCCTTGCTCAGGTTGAAGGTGAGGAATGGCTCTGGTGATGATAGGGAAGAGCAATAGCTATCTCTGGGCCTGGGGTGAAAATCTTTTTGACACAACTCCTATCAGGTTAAGATCAAGGGAGTGCATTTCCCCCAGGGTCCCAGAGTCTGGTTTCAGTGCCTTCTCTCCTGCGCCCTCCCTCCCTGTTGTCCTGCTCAGGGCACCCAAGATAGCTAGAGTTTCTGTGATAAGCCTTTTCAAAGCATCCTGTGAGCGCCGGACCTGGAACTTCCTGCACACACAGGTCCCTATTGTTGCCCCCTCACATGGCCCACATGTTTTCAACACACCTCCTCCTCCTTGAGGGAAAACTGCCTAATGACTGACAGCTAACTGGCAATTGGGACAAGGACAAGTGAGGAAGGAAAAGCAGTCAAGCACAGGTGGGCAGCCCCTGGCACCATCCTATGCTTATAGCAGTTGGAAGGGAAACTGCATTTCACAAGCACAGAATTTACTCTCTTGGTTGGAGTATTTCTGGTCAAATCTTTCGTATGTTCTTTTTTAAAAAGAGGATTACCAAGATAATGTGACACACTTCAGGTTTTCTAAATATTGTTTCCCTAAGAAATATTTATAAGTTCATTCTTCCAAATACGAATTGTGGAATGTACCTAAAATTGTCAGAACTTGGGGGAAAATCCTCTTTGAACTGCTACTCCCATAATCACCCAGTCAGTATAGGGCTGCTGACTGCGGAATTTTGTCACCCGAAGGGTTATTTTTCCAGGCTCAGATTATTACCCAGGCTAGATTCCTTTGCTAACCCATTCTCATAGCTCCATGTTACTGGAGAAGTAGGACAGCATGTACACTGAGAAGGACAGAGAGTTATCCCTGCATCGGGGCTATGCAGTCACTCTTTATTCTTCTGCTGAATGTGTTGGGGCTATACTCAAGCTAAAACTTTATTTGCAAAAGAGAGATAAAAATCAAGGGATGTTGCAGGACAAGTCTCTGAATTAAAGTTCAGAAAGATCTTCACACTGTTGCCCAGTTCAGCTAAATAAAAAGGCTCACAGCTCTGGATACTGATCCATACTCAGTTCCATGTGACTGGAATGAAGAGCTATTATAGAAGTCAACTGCATCTTGAGAAGCTTGCACAAAATACACCTTTTGTTACTCCATCTCTCTTGCAGCCACAGTTATGTCCGTGGTTCCATCACACTTTATATCATCAACCTTCATCGGTCCCGGAAGAAAATCAAATTAGTGGGAACCCTTCGGGATAAACTCATCCATCAGTATGTGCTACAGCCCTATGGTCAGGAAGGACTACATTCTAGGTGAGCACTGTTGTCCTGACAGGGACTGGGAAGTGGTATTTGGTAGAAATTGTTCCCTGTGTTGACATCAAAAGTCAATTGAGACTAAACCCCAGTACCTTGAAAAACAAAGGCTTCATCTACACTGCATTGTGCGTGCAGGGCCTGAGAAGACATAATAAATACTTATGCAGGTATTAAACCAATAATTACTCATTTACGGAGCTTTGAAAAAATATTATTGTAGACTCCAGTTCCCAGAATCTTATTGTCTGCATGTCTATTGACAATGCTGTTTGGAAGTACTTGGGAGGTATAGTCCAAAAACAATGACTAAGCTCTGCTTAGTCTACCTGTCTTTAATCTGCACAGATTCCTTGATTTCCTTCTATCTGCTGGTGTAAAGGTTGTATCAAAATTAACCTGTTAGCCTTTAAAGTATCACAGAATTATTATATTTGTTTAAGGAACAGAGCTCTCCTTCTTCGTATTGATTCTGTGTATAATGCAATTCCTTATCATTAATTCATTCATTTAAAACTTTTTGCTTTGAAGAAGTTCAAGGTAGTTAATGTTACCAATAAAAATATAAGGCCGTAGCTAAAAAGTAATAAAATAATAGTAGAAGTAATAAGCCACCGTCATAACTAGCCTTATCTTCCATCAACGTGCCCTGCCTTCCACCAATCCTCCTTTTTAGGATGACCAAGTTGGTGCCTTTAATATGTTTTGTGATGGTGAATTCTACAGTCTAATTTCTGGACGATGAAGTACTTCATTTTAACTATCCTGAATCTCCCACCACTGGATGCCCCTTATTTGAAGGATTGTGTGAGAGCTTAAAAGAACCTTGTCATAACAACTTTGCCTTCAAGTCCTTTCTGATTTGCCAAAATTTGTTTAGAGGGGTTTTTCTTTTGCCTTCCTCTGACTGAAAGAGCTAGAATTTTCTTTTAAAAATAACTTTTCAAGCTCTGCTGAGGGAGGTAGAAAAACATAAGTCTCAGAGATTAATGCCAGAAAACAGGGACATATAAAATGAAAAGGAATCACAATGTGGGGTTCTGGTCCATTAATATATATCCAGATTAATTGGAGAACTTGTGAATAGGATGCAGTGCATAACTAGAAAAGAATAGCTGGCAGTTTTGGATCCATTTATATGTTATTGTAGCTGCTTTAATTGACACTTGTAAGTTGGGGTAGGGAGCAGGTGTTGATCAGTGAGGAAAATATTGTACAGCACTTGAGAGTTTATGTTCAGATATGCCTGAATGCTTATATCTTAGACTTGCATGTGTAGAGGGATAGCTGATGCCCACCAGCAGAAAGGATGATTCTCATGTATTTCTGCATTTTTCATCACCTAAGTATCTCCTGACCATTTCAAAATCTTCCCATCTATCCTGCTATCTGGGGAAGAGACCAGGCTTCCCCTTTTTTGCTTGGTGGTGGAGGTTCTTATGCATCTGTTTTATGTGTGCAGATCAGTGCAGCTCAATGGGCAGCTGCTCACCATGGAGGATGATGGGACCCTGCCTGACTTGAAGCCACGTTCTCTTCGTCCTGGACGGACTCTGGTGATTCCACCACTCACAATGAGCTTCTACGTGGTGAAGAATGTCAATGCTCTTGCCTGCCGATATCGGTAGCTTCATCCATCCCACTGCCAAGAACGGTTGGGGCTTATCTTGGCAAGTGGCATTTCTTGGTAGGCTCAGCAGACATCACAGAAAATTTAGGGTGAAAAGACCTCTGAGAAACTTCAGAGGAGGGTCAAACTGAAAGCACAACCAGCCATTTCAGAAATGGAATGCTTCATCTATGCAGATGGCAATGTCAGCACCTGTAATTGCTACTCCATGGTGGACATAGGAAAGAAGAGAAGTGTTTTCCTGCTACCTCAGCTGGGTCAAGGCCAAATTCTTATTTTTCCCTTTATGGAAAGAACATTATACAAGAGCTAGCAGGAATTGACTTGCAAGCTGTCCTGCTAAAGAGCTGAGTATTGAGAAGCTAGTGCAGAAGATGAGTGGGGAAACCTGAACTTCTGCAAAGTGACATTTCCATGGAAAGCTGCCTATGCTGCCCTCTTCTTGACAGCCTGGGAACCATCTTAAACTATGAATTAATCTTAAACATTGAGACATATCAATAAACTGAGGATTTTGTGCCACCTGGTGGGCAGGAGAAATTGCTGTAAAAGAGTGAGAACCTCTGCTATATTTGCTAAGCATATGCACAGGCACTGTGTCCATCATTCTAGCAGCTGCCCAAAGGATATCAGCAAGGAAAGCTTTATAATCTAGGCCTTTGAGCTTTATTCCTGTGGATGTTTCTCCCCCTGCTGGCAACTATCACAAGAGCAAGTTATACACAGCTGGCAATAGAGAAAGCTATGCATTTGTTTGATATGAGATGGAGATCCAAAGAGTATGCAAATAGACGCAGTTCTGCAAGGCATGTACTAACACAGGAGCCAAAACAGCCTCTTATAAAAGAGAGTTAATTGTGCTGCAGAAGAAAGCTAATGCAGCATATGTCAGTTTGGATGAGAACTTCTGGGTGCCTGCAGCATTGCGAATTGGAAGAGGAGAGGTTTGGTCTTGGCTACTGTCAATAATGCTGCCACCTGGGAGCATTTGCTGCAAATCTTAATTATTAAATTATATTTTCTGAAGAACTGAAAAGATACTTGAATAACTGAGAGATGGGAATTTGTAAGAGAGGGAGGGAATCATATTTCAAAATGACAGCTGACGTACTTGAAATTTGCAATCACATTCTTGTTTCAGGACTCTAGGCATTGTTGGTATTTATATTCCCTACAATTGGTATCTGCATTTTACAAAAACTCACAGCTAGTTTCAGAAGACAACCAGACTTGTCTTTGAGTATCAGTATTCTTACTTTTGTTTTCCTGGAAACACCAGCAAGTAACTATATTCCTGTCTATAATCTCCTCGTGATGGAACCTAGGAATAAGCTTTGGTCCTTGCACTCGCAGAAATTAGACTATTCTTGCAGGTGATAGAATGCTGATGGATAAAAAGTTACAGATGTCAGGAAGCCCAGTTAAGATGCTCTCATCCAAGTCCAATGAAGTCACATGGGATGTAGATTGCTAGCATTAAATCCACATAAAAGGCCTCCTTGAACATGAAGACCTCTTAAATTATGGGCAAAGTATTTGGCAGGATTTTGTTTTACAACATGATGCCAAAATATGAAAGAATGCAAAAGGAGAAAGTTGCAGTACTTCCAGATGAAGATTTTACTGTGCATTACCTCTTTCATGGAAGTTTACAGATGGTCCAGCCATGCTCATTATCCATTTGCAGTCTTCCCTTCCTTAGGAACAGCTTTCTTCTTTAGTTTCCCCACATCTTTCCTTTTATGGGGGAAATTAAGGAACAAAGAATAGCAGCACACTGCCTTTTAATTTTGAGTGACAGAAATCTGTCTGGAGTCCCAAGAACTACAATGTAGTCACTGACACTTCTGAAAACAAATTGCTCCTGTTACACTCTTTCTGATGTCTGTATATCCCTTCTGGATCGTCTGACTTATTAGTATAGTCAGACGAGGGGGAGGCAAATTATATTTTAAAAGCTCAAATCATCTTCTTGTCCATCATAAATGACTGCTTGCTCCACCAGCATTTTAATTAATTTATTATTATTTATTTATTTCTGATATTTTTACTCTGTCACTTCTCTACCCTCGAAGGGGGACTCAGGACGGCTTACAATGGGCACTGATACGATGCCACTACATAACAATTACAATAATAAAACCACAATTGAACATAAATAATTAAAACAATGCATCAGCAATCGTTAAAACAGTAAAACAGTCTCATAAGGTAAAGGTAAATGTTTTCCCCTAACATGAATTCCAGTTGTGTCCGACTCTGGGGTGTGGTGCTCATCTCCATTTCTAAGCCAAAGAGCAGGTGTTGTCCATAGACACCTCCAAGGTCATGTGGCCAGCATGACTTCATGGAGCTCCCTTACCTTCCCGCCGGAGCAGTACCTATTGATCTACTCACATTTGCATGTTTTCGAACTGCTAGGTTGGCAGAAGCTGGGGCTGACAGCAGAAGCTCACGCTGCTCCCTGGATTTGACCTTTCAGTCAACAAGCTCAGCAGCTCAGTAGCTTAACCCACTGTGCCACCGGGGGCTCCAGCATTTAATTAGAAGGGTATTATTGAAAAAAAAATGCCTTTGAGTTGAATACAAGAGGTTACAGCAAATAAGTGCAGGTTGCATGCAAACTCAAAGATCTTGTGTGTTTGTGTGTGTGTGTGTGCGTGCTGTCCACCAAGGACTTCATCACATTGAAGCAGGGAAGTGTTGGTAGAGTCGTACTCAGTCATACACAATTTTGAAATGAAACAGATTATTTCCCTACCTTCATCACACTGTTAAATGTATCAGTGTTACTCAGTTGTTCTCAGCACTCTTTCAGTAGATTTGCCATCACACTGTAATTGCTAGGCACCGCCCATCATCCCTCCCCCATGTTTTTTTTTGGGGGGGGGACCCTTCTCTCTTTGAAATGTCAGCTGTTACATGTCTTCAATTCTGGAAACAGGGAGGGACAGAAGGCAGCGATGCACTCTCCATCCCTCCCACTCCCTCCCTCCCTCTCTCTCAGCTGCCCCACAGAGAAGGGTGTAGACCTTGGGAAACTGTTACTCCCAGGACTGCATAGCATGGAGCTATGGTATTTAAAGTAAGGTCCAGCTGCATCCATTTCACTGTGAGAAAGTTCATGGACCTTAGGAAACTGAAATTTCCAAGACTGTCTCATTAAGACATGGCATTTAAAGGAAGGTTCAAATGTGTTCATTCCACAGTGTAGATGCACCCAGAGAAGGGTATGGACCTTGGGAAACTATAACTCCCAGGACTGCACAGCATGGAGAGATCGCATAATAATAATAATCATCATCATCATCATCATCATCATCATCATCATCATCATCATCATCCTGGCTTTCTAATGCAACACAAGGCATAGACATATCACAGAAGGAAAGGAAAGGAAAGGACTGGACCCAGAAAGGCTATTTTTTTAAAAGAAATTGTTCTGTCAAAGTAAAAACTCAGTGAGGAAAAGGTACTTTTGGCTCCTCCTACAATTTTCCCTCCCACAAATTGGGGAAATGTTTTATTTAAAACCTAAGGTCAACAAATGTCATCACATGACAGAACTGGCTAAACATCTGCATCATTACCAAAACTCCACTTCCCCACCACCTTCCTGAAACTTTTGAAAAGAATGGTGGCCCCCATGTTAAAAATACACAAAGAATGCTCTATCCTACACTTGAACCCAACCTAATATGATAAACACAGTGGCTTACCACTTTTTAAGTATAGCAATCAGTGGAATTTAGTAAATGTAATGAAGTAGCAAGTCTCTGCTGAGGAAGACGGTGACAGCTACAGCACCAGGGACTCTAGCATCCATGGCTACCAAAGGAGAAGGAGTGGATGTCTGGCTGCTGTCCATTTTTAAAATGCTTTGCATGCCTCTGGGATTCCAGGAGCAAAGACACACAAGGGACTATGAATTTTACCTGCATACTGCACTCTCTAGACCAGGGTTTTCTCAAACCTTTTAAGAAGAGAGCTGGTTCATGGTCCCTCAGACTGTTGGGGGGGGGGGGCAGACTATACTTTGAAAAAAAAAACATGAACCAATTCCTATGCACACTGCACATGTCTTATTTGCAGGCTAAACATAAGATGCAAGTTTAAAATTTGTTATTTAAACTGGCTGAGTAGGTCTGCCAGAAGAGATTTATTATTTATTTAAAACATTTATATTCCGCCCTCCTCACCCCGAAGGGGACTCAGGGTGGAGCACAGCATATACACAGCAAACATTCAATGCCAGGACACAAATTCACATACAATACATAAACAAAAAGAAACATTTATCAAAATATTAAAATACACCATTTAAAACCGTCCTAGCCATCCGCATCAAATCCAATTGGCCCTGTCATCTTTCCCACTGCCGCTTCATTGCCCTGTCCCGAAAGCTTGGTCCCACAGCCAAGTTTTTACCATCCTTCTAAAGGACAGGAGGGAGGGCGCAACCTGATCTCACCAGGAAGGGAGTTCCATAGCCGGGGGGCAATCACTGAGAAGGCCCTGTCTCTCGTCCTCACCAATCGTGCCTGTGACAATGGTGGGACAGAAAGCAGGGCCTTCCCGGAGAATCTCAATCTCTGTGATGGTTCATAGGGGGACATGCGTTCGGACAGAGGTCTTTAGATGGTTTTAAAGTTCCAATAGCTCGTTTAGGATAAGATTTGGAGACCTCTATTTGGGGGGGGGGGCAGATCCTTTACAGTTTGGGTCCCAAATATATGGGCAAAGGAGACCAAAATGCATGCCATCATACATATAACTTCCAATCAGACCAGGATCCAACTCCAGAGGAAGGGTTTTCTTCAAATGGAAATCTTAACATTCATAAAGGCTTCAGTGCCATATATGAGGAAATATATGGAAACAAATTATAGTATTTATTCAACAAGTGCTCTGCGGTTTGCTTTCTAAACTGAAGAAATGGAAAAGAGAAAAGATAATGCATAATATGAGAGCCATCCTTTTGTCTCGCCCTCTGCTTCCAATTGTGAGAATCTGAACTTGTCCCAATGCCATGGCACCAAATGTGCAGACCTTTTAGGTGCCTTTTTTCCTATGCAAGACTTTGTATGATCCCATCAATGGACACTACCATCCTTGAACCACTGCTTCTGCCACAGGCCCTATATGTCCCCTATTCCAATAACACTATTGAAGTATTATCAGATGTGTACTACAAAATTTATTTTTATTACCTTCAACATAAGTTAAAAATTACTTATTGAACACATCCAAATCCTAACTGACCCTGAATATCTCTTATTTCTCTCCCATCTCTCTGTATCTTTTGTTCCTTACTTCAATACTCATCTGTCTCACTCTAAGTGACATCCTAATCTTTTAAATGTCCCTTCAATTATTCAGCCACTCACTCTAAGTGATATCCTAATCTTTTAAATGTCACTCACAACATTCTATATTTTCACTCTTTCCCAACAGATCACTTACTTAGTGTATTTACCATACATAGTGTGCAGAACCATAGCAGATATTTTACCTTAATTTCACTAATAAACACAAGATCTGCCACCCCCCAAAAGTCCATAACAGCATGCATACTACAGGAAGGTATCCGTACAACTGTTGCTGCTGACTTGCAAAACACAACAGTCGTAATAAAGAGAAACAACCCAGATGTGGGTTGTTATGCACCGGTTCAGCCAAATGTGGTACAACCACCCAAAAAAAAAAATCCATGCGTTTGTGGATTGCTCCTATGTGCATGCCAGAATTCACAGTAACACTGTCTCATTTTCCTGATCTCACCAAGATAGAAAAACATTTCCACAACCCAACTGTAACCTATAGCAGTCATGTAGCTCATGTCCAGGTCCTTCACTGCATCTAAATTAACCTGAATGATTGTCCATATAGGATCCCATATACTATTGTTCTGAGTACTCCAAGTTTAGTAGCTCAGAGTAGGTTGTCTCAACTGCCTTGGGTTATTATGTTTTGGAGAGCCCTTTCTCATCAAATTCACTCATATCCTAAGTCAAAAAAGGTATTGACTTAGTATGG